ATCATGGAGCAACCATTTGAATGAATTTTTTTCTTCCTACTTATCTTTTCAAATTTGAGGGGAGATTCCGAGAACACCTCCTCCGGTCTCGCGCCCGCCGTCTGCCCCCATATCCTCGGTACCTGTTGCAAGCATCCCCGTTCAACGTGTTACTGTACCTGCTGGTGCCTCTAAAGATATGGCAATCACAGGTGCCAGGGAAGAGGTAGGAGACCATCTATTTGTGCTTTTTTTGCCAAAAAACGTTTTTCATTTGTTCTGAATGCTAGGTTCGTGTGAAAATGAATCGAATGAGGCTACGCATTGCCAGCCGTCTGAAGGATGCTCAAAATACATACGCAATGTTGACAACTTTCACAACGAAATATCGGATATGAAAATGAGGTGAGATTACTTTCTTCGTTTTTGTAAAGGATTTTCATGTTGAAAGTCCTACGCGTAGTTTCTACCTCGCTAGTTCGCCGAGAAAAAGTGATGGGGGAGGGGAGGGAAGGATTAGTGAGAGAAGAAGTCATCCTGTGAAGGCTACGAAATCGTACGAGTTTTCTTCTAAATATCATGACGGTAACTGGGCAGCTTCCCGCTATGCCGAAGTAATACTTGGTCCGATAGAAGGAGTCCAGCTGCCCAGGGACCTTCCGGTTATTTTTGGCCAAACGTTGTTAAGAATTGGAGAGCCTTTACAGCGACAGTTGTTTCTTATATCGTCGAGCCTTCACAGTTTACTGCAAAATTGACGGGTCTCCCGACAAAAGTTGCGAAAGGCCCCTCCCCACACTTCAGGCAGCGTTCAGACTTCGCGATGACGCGTCCGCGCGCTACAATTGAATCAATCAGCGCCGGCCGCTTTTTTTTGAGAGTATAGGATAACAGATGAGCAGCCGCTGCCTCCACATAGTCTAATACTTTCACATTTTCTATGCTCTTCCAGCGCCCTAACGCCAGTGCCGATCGGTGCCAACTGCGTGATTAGGCAACGCGTACTCTCTTATTTCCTTTTGCTCTCTCAGAACACAAGCGGTTGGCGCCGATGGTTCCCGTCTGCGGCCGCGTTTGCGTCCAATGCATTGGAGCGCTGTTGCAGCTATAGCGCGTCGACGCGCGTTGCAGCGGGTCATTACGAAGTCTGAACGCTGATTCAGCGGTCCGACCATTTCCTTCTTCAAGTTTCGTCCATTAGGATCCTTGTGCTTGAATTCACCAAAATCTGGGGACACTCCCTGCTGATGGTTACTTCAGGCAGGGACCCGTTGAGCGGCGCTTAGGTTGCGGCTATTGCAATTTATAGTAATATGCAGGCAATTACCTTGTCATTAGTGAAAGCCTTTATCGTCGCTCGGTGGAAGGAAGCATGCTACGCCGGAACGGAAGGGCCGGGCGCCATAGGGAGTACATTTGAATCCATTTTCTAATCCTTTTGACCACGCTCATTCCTAGAATCGCCGGTGCCGCTTTTTATTCTGACTTCATTTATTATTAATGTTGAACGCATTGAGCACGACTTTGCTCCAACTTTATCTCACGCTCTCTAACTTTTGCCTGCCTTAATGCTTTTGATTAGACTCAGAAAAAAACTTCTCTGCGCACACACTGATCTTGCTTGCTGTATGTTATAGTTATATGCTCGGTCGAGCTTCCACAAGCAGTTGTTTAGCACTTCTGTGCA